TAATATTATTGGATAATTTCCACATTTTGTTGGATCAACTTTCTTTGGAATGGGCACAAATATAGATCTCTTCCAGTCACTTGGCCAGGTAGCTGTCTTCCAAATTTCTTGGCATAAACAAGCAAGTACCTCCAGTGCTGCATCTGTTTCTTGAAGCATCTCAACGAATATTCTGGCAATTCCTGGAACCTTGTCTTTTTGCCAATTCCTTCAGTGCAGATTGGACTTCTTCCATCAGTACCATTAGTTCTTGATCATATCTTACCTCCTGAAGGTGGAATAGTACATAGAGTGAAAATAAAGGATGTATAACCAAAACTAAAAACCAAACCCACTGCCATAGAGTTGATCCCAACTCACAGAAACCCCCATTGGGTTTCCAAGGGTGTGAATCTTTATGGAAGCAGATTGTCTCATCTTCCTCCTATGGAGCAGCCAGTAGGTTTGAAACACCAACCTTCTGGCATTTGGCCTTACCCACTAAACCACGAGAGCTACCACCACACACACACACACACACACACACACAGAGGAATCATTAAAAAAGAAAGCTGACAGAGGATACAAGACACAAAAAAGAGCTTCAATATTATTCACATTCAAGTGAAATTATCAAGAGGAAAGGCAGGAGAGGGGTAGCCTGTGTAGGGAAGGAAGCCAAGTGGTGAATGAACATGCAGGGGTTAGTGAGTGTTGACAGTGTTCCATATCTGGAATGAGCTCTGGTAGCATACTGCCTAAGGCACTTGACTGCTAACCAGAAGGCTGGTGGTTCAAACCCACCAGCCATTCCTTGGAAGGAAGATGGGGCAGTCTACTTCCGTAGTGATACTGCCTCAGAAACCCAAGGAGGGGTCGCTATGAGTCGGGTCCGACTCAATGGCAAACAGCAACAACAACAAACAACAACATATGATGGCTGCTTTCATAATCACTCACCATAACATACATTTGTATTATAACTGCAACAGACTTTTCTAGAAATGCTTTCAATTCACAGTAGGTAAAGCTGCAGAAACAAAGAAAGAAAGGAAGGAAAAGAGGGAGGAAGAGACAAAAAGGGGAAAGAGAAAAGACAGAAAAAGAGAGATGTCTATGCAAATAACTTGTTTCCTCCCTGTTAGAAGTTAAATGTTCAAAATAAAATTGATAAATGCATATGTCTAAACTTTATATGGGAGCTCTGGTGGCGTAGTGCCTAAGGCATTTGACTGCTAACCAGGAGGTTGGCAGTTCAAACCCACCAGTCACTCTTTGGAAGCAAGATTGGGCAATCTACTTCTGTAGAGATATTGCCTCAGAAACCCAAGGAGGAGTCGCTGTGAGTCAGAGACGACTTGATGACAGTGAATTTGGAATTTTTAGAAACTTTATATAATTCAGAAAAATTTCAAATCTAAAGCTTATTTTGCCAAAAGAAACAATGTTGATAAATAAGAAAATCTTATGAGTTCAAGATTCTAAAAAGAGGAGGAACTTTTCTACTTGTAACTGCAGGACCTCTTCAGGGGGACTAAGTAGATCACATTGTCCAAACAAGGAACCAAGGTTTGGGGAACCAATGACCCAAACCAAGAAGAAACTTCCTGGTACTGACCTGAAGACCACATTGACTGAGAGCTGTTCTCACAGTTTCCTAAACTCCCACAAACACCAGATGAGGCCACTTTTGCAGAAGACTGAAGAACAGCCCCCTCACAGTGTCTTCTAGGATGAGGCTCTTATGTTGCTTCCAAAGACTTATTCCCTCATCGAAACAAATGATTGAAGAAAACACGTAAAAGCAGCACCATATTTATCACATGAGGTCAACACCTCTGAAGGATTTTCAGGGAGATGAGAGTCGCTGAGAACAACCCACAGAGAATGCCCACACACAGCTACTCTGCACTGAAACACTGAGTGCCAGGAAACGGCCCATTTGCCGCCCAAAGACGTCTGCTGTCGGTGGTGCAGGGGCCACAGGGCAAGTCTGAGCAGCACTTTAACATGGGATTAAGAAAACACAGCCCTGTCAAGAAGGACTGAGCTCTAAAATGACCCTTCTTGAAATTCTTAATTTGAGGATTTGAGGATATCTTCTGTCACCTCTAAGAGTAAAACCTGAGGAAGGGTCGTGACACCTCCACCCCAGGTAAAGATGACATTAAGCCTAAAGTCTTGTCACCTGTACCTGCAGCAAGTGACTGAGGATAGGCCTGGAGCCAAGGCACACGCAAATCATGGACTAGAGCATGAGGATCTCACATTTATCCCAGAACCTAATGGGGACACAGAGACTCAGAGGTTTCACATGCACCTGGACGAAGAATGAGAAAGGAGGTGGTGCCACAGGAGCCCAGGTGTACGAGACTGCAGTCTGAACCCGACCTGGGCTATCTGGCCTTGGCAGAGCCAAGGGGTCTAGCGTGGGGTGGAGATGGACTTTCACTACTTCTCTGGGTCCTGTGAGGGTCAAATTCTACTCTCTCCCAGAACCTTGGGAAAAGAAAAGAAGGTTTCATTCTAGGGCTCCAGGCCCTGTCACCGTTTTGCCTTTGTGTAACTCAGAATAATGTGTGTTTTCCGGGTGGATCCACCCAGTGGAGAAGGCTTGGTGAGAGGCAAGCAGGTTAGAGTGTAGACCCCACCTACCCCCTCACCCTTCACCCCTATCAGTGCATTTCCTGTCACCTCTCTGTCCCTCTGGTGTCCCCCTCACTAAACTCTCTGCTGCATCACAGACCCAGGCCCTGCCCAACCAGAAGCTCACAGGCAGAGTGTGACTGAAGCCAACTTTGACTCCCCACCTCCTAACCATGCTGGGTAGCTTGCTGGGAGTCAATTAAAAACAGGAAGGGAGCCAGTGGGCAGGGATGCAAGGGGTTATTTATATTCTGCAACTTCAAGAGGTTCACTCAGGAGACTGGTCACTGTTGGGAGAACCACCCCAGGAAGACACAACAATGCAGGTGAGGAGAAAGGGTCCATCCTTCAATAACCCAGGTTGCACAGTGGAAGGAGGAAACAGAGGCAGATGGTGTGAGATAATAATGTGTGCATTTGTGTCATTCATACTTTTCTGAGGGTATTTCCAGTGTGTGCAAAAGAGAGACCCTGGGATTGGCATGTATGGGAATTTTGTGGAGAAGTGTGTGTTGATCTTGGGCCAGTGTAATCTTAGCAGGATTTGATGATGCCTGACATGGTGTGTGAACTCTACTGACACAATGTGACTGGAGGTGGGGGAATGGATGAGCTAGTGTGTGAGTGTGAGTGAGAGAATGATATTGTGCATATGTGTTCACGTCTGTGAGTGTGCATGTCAGCACAGTCGGGTGAGTGTGAGCCTAGAGAGGTGTGTCTGATGCTGTGAGTGGCATGTCTCTGTGTGACTGCTGGGTGTGATTCTGTGTCTGTGTGTGTGATATTCTGTGAGTGGGTGACTGTGAGGATGAATGGGCCTTTCTCTGCATGTGAGGGCTCTGGCCTGCACAGCAGTGGCTCTAATGCTGACTTGACTAGGATTTTCCGAGCATGCCAAGTGTGGGCTCAGGTTGGAAGACCTAGCGAGGGTCTTGGAAACTGACAATGCCTGAAGGAGCTCATCTCCAGCACGAACAACCTTGTTCAGTGGAGGGGCCGTTAATGAGCACAGGATGTGAGAGGCTATTGGGAACCCTGAAAGAACAGCGGGGAAAAGATGACCTGAGACTGTGCAGGGCTTCCATCTGCAGGGGGACCTCCCCCACCAGTGCCTCAGGTCCCCTCCCTGCCTGCCTTAGTTACCTGCTGCTGCCCTAACGGAACTACTGCAAATGGATAGTTTTAAAGACCAGAAATGTATTTTCTCACAGTTCTGGAGGAAAGAATTCAAATCAGGGTCTTGGCCATGCCAGTTCCTTGTGTGAGTCCATGTCCTGGTTGCTCCTGGGCATTCTTTGGCGTCTGTCTTGCCCTGCATCCGTTCTGCATATTTATAACTCAGCGGTGATTTGATTTATGATCCTCTCAACTCTGATTTGGCCTCTTTAGCAAAACAAAAGAGAACCCAGATTTCTATATAGGGTCTTATTTACAAGGACAAGCATTAGGATTTCAACACTCATTTTGAGATGACACAATGCAACCCATAGAGGCGCTGGGCCCATCCTCCCTTCAAGCTACAGAGGGAGGTGAGCGACCCTGGCACACGGGGGAAGACACTTGGGGGATGTGGTTTCAGAAAATCCACCCATCTGCCCAGGTTTGACTCGTGCACACAGAGCTACAGCCCATGTTAGTCAACACCTTGTAGCCGATCCCCCACTACCTTCCCGTCCCACACCCTCCTCTCCCGTAGGTCCTGGGGCTGTGTTCTCAACAATGTGTACATATTCCTGAAAGTGCATATGTTGCCCTTGGTCATATTTGATGCCAATATGTTCCCCGACACAGGAGTGTCCTTTAGCTGTTCTTTATTCTTTCTTTTTCTAAACATGTGTTGGTTTTCACTGGAGTGAATTTTTATACTTTTCAATTCTCAAGTCTGTGTTAATAGTCTCAGAATGCAGAAAATGACTGGAGGGTGGTATTCCAGAAAGTCCGCGCCTCTCCTGATGGGTAACACCTGTTAGACCCTAGACATGCCAGGGGTTGTGCTACAGGTCTTGCCTATGCCAGTTCATCTGGCTCTGAGAACACCCTATGAAGTAGGGGTTTCTTAAAATCCCCCAGTGCACTGAGGACCTGGGCAGAGAGAGCTCAAGTAATGGATCTGGGGTGTCAGGACTCCTCAGAGGTAGAATCAGAATTTAAACCCAGGCAACTTAGCTCTTCAATCCTTGCTCTGAACTATATTTGCCCTTCCCTCTGCCCCTGTGTCATTTCAGACACAGGACCTATGAGTGGAGTAGGGAGAGCGGGTCCCCACAGTTGTTCTTGCTCTCTGTCCCGATATGCCCCTGTGCATATTGTATGAGGGAGACCACAGCCTTCCCTGTGACTACTAAGACCATTTCCTCCTGTGTCTGTAACCGCAGATCCCATACACTCGGCATCTGCGCTTGGCTGTTGGTTCCTCGGTGACAATCAGGGGAACAGCTTCCGTCTCTTTCAGGTGAGGATTCTATTGGCCATGGGTGGGGGGTAAAGGAGATGGAGAATGTCAGTGCTTGGGGACTACCTCAAGTATGAGTGATGTTAAAATGCTTCAGCAGTATCATGGTGGCATCATGCAGTTGTAGGTCATGAAGACCCTATAGTGCCAGGCATTACCACTGTAGTTGCTGGACTATGGGCAGGGCTGGGGGTCTGAGGGCAGGGGCCACTCATGGGTGGTGGTTTCAGTTTTTTTTTTTTAATCTAAAGAGATAGAATTTTTAACAGTAGAATGGATAACCAAACTATGGTACATGCACAAAATGGAATACTGTGCAACCCTAAAGAATAACGTAGAATCTGCAAAACACTACATAACATGGATGAACTTGGAGGACATTATGCTGAGTGAAATAAGTCAATTACAGAAGGACAAATATTGTATTAGTCCATTATTGTAAAAAGTCAAGGAAAGGTTTATATATGTAAAGAAAGTTTCTTTGTTGGTTACCAAGTGGGGTGGGGGGAGGTAGGGACAAGTGTTGATTTGGGTGAAAGGAATAGCAATGTACCAAATGTGTGTGATCAACACAGTAGCACTGAGGAAGAGGAAGACATAAAGAGGTACATGGGAGGTACAGACAACAAAGGTAAATCCTTTTGCACATACAGTACTGCATTGTTGGTGAAGGCAAACATTGATCTACAGGTAGATAGATGGGTGGACAGGCTGAATTATAAGGTATGTCTGCAACAGGAAATGTGTCCATGACCATGTACAGGGTTGGCAGATGATGTTTCTACAAGTATATTTGTATGTTCTGTAAGATTCACAAGTATATAGTAGAGCTGACAAGGGACAAGGTTGTAGTCACTTCTTGGCCACAGCCAGCTACACAGAGGGAATGAGTAGTTGGACCTGTGGGCTCAGGCCCATGGTCACAGGGGACATCAAGCTCAATTGATATAACATACTACACAAAAACATTATTCCACATCCTACTTTGGTGAGTAGCAACTGGGGTCTTAAAAGCTTGCAAGTAGCCATCTAGATGCAATTATGGGTCTCTCCTCATCCAGAGCAGAGAAGAATGAAGAAAACCAAAGATGCATGGAAAAAATTAGTCCAAGTGACTGGTACACCATGCAATCCTCAGCCCATACGACTATGAGATCAGAACTAGATGGTGCCCGGCTACCACTGTCAACCATTCAGAGGAGGATCTATGTAAGAGATCCTGGATAGAGTGGGAGAACAATGTGGAACAAAATTCAAAATCATCTTTAAAAAAAAAAAAAAAGGACCAGGTTTGCTGGAACCACTGAGACTGATGGCCCCTAGCTGCCCTTCAGGTCTGGAATTGAACCCACTCCTGTGGCTTCCAGCCAAACAAAAGATAGGCATATGAACTGAACATTTACATTAGATAGATACACTCCTTGGGGAGATCAATCATGGGAGAATAGAAGGGTTGTGTATGCACAGGGAGACAGCTGGGGGTGGGGGTGGGCAGGAGTGCAGGGGAGGGAAGGTGTTCTGGTTCCCTAGTGGGGCTCTGACAGGAATATACCACAAATGAGATGCCCTTAAAAAGCAGGAGTTTATTCTCTCACAATTTGGAGGCTTTAAGTCCAAGTTCAAAGTGCCAGGCTCTAGGGGCTGGGTGAAAGCCCCTCAACCTTGGGGTCCAGCTCTGCCTCC